TAAATGATATTTTATTCATTTTTTTTTTTTTCAATTTAAGTGTGATGTTATTTCTTTAACCGACTAATCTGGATTAGTCGGTTTTCCTGGGAATCTGGAAACTGGAAAGTCCATATACCAAAAAAAAAAATCTTAAATCAATTATATCATTCATTAATTTTTATGTCGTCCATATAGCCATTATATATAAGTAATATATTATTAAACTATATTATCCATTTTTATTAAAGATCAAATTTATAAAATGAGATATAACAGTTATTTAACTAATGATTTCAAATATAACATTCTACACATATAATTTATAATATCTTATTTTCATCTATGCATATGCATAAGATTGAATACTGGTAATCTATAAATATATTAATTGGAGCAATTCAATAAATACTACTACATTAAAAAATTTTCCATTAAACCATCTTACTATTTTTCGTAGTAATTCTTTTCCGTCACAGTTATCATTTATTATATTATTATTGTATTGTTAACTAGCATTAATTCAATTAGTTATTAGCATTAATTTACATAATAGCTATCATAATAGTAGTACTGATTATAACTGGTATAGTAAATAGTTTAATACTATATATTATTAATTTACTCATGTTTTTAATATAAATTGAAAGAATTCAATACAATGGTCAATTTATTTAAGATTATATTAAATTCTAAATCTATATTTGTATTCACTTGTTATTCATTCTAGTCTAAAAAAAATGAAGACCTCCAATATTTGAAAAAAAAAAAACTCTATAATTACTAATTATTGCCTACATGTGGAAAACACGCCTATCTAGTGAATAGTGAGCCGTAATTATCATATCACCACTTACACCTAACTAGAATTATTATCCCATTTGCCTTTGAAAATTAGACCTTTTTTTTTTTCTCAAACTTTAAAACTACAGACTTATTTTATTTGAATTATATCCTCCTTATATATAATTCCCGAATGCGCTGAGCCTACGTGACTGCTTCTGGTGCTTCGGAATCCTATTTGGCGAAGAATCATGCTTCGTAATTAGGTTTGGATAAATAATATTGATATATTAATAATTAATAATTTAGGTTCGGGTTTTCCATAAATATTATTTAGCTAACATATGTATTTTAATATCATTTTTACTAATATAACCCTTTAATTCTTTGTAATTTTACATAGTGAGGCACTAAGTGACTAATATATCCCTGAATTTTGATTTGTTTCCTTCAATAAGATATTGAATTATAAATGTATTTTAAAAGTTGATAACTTTTGTATTTCTTATCGGTTTTACATATATAATATATCAAACTAATCATCTTTTGATGATTTTCGATTTGACATCCATATTGTATATATACAACAACAACAACATACACAGTATATACAACATCCATATTGTATATATAAAATAAATAAATTATATTTATCTTTATAATAATAAAAAATAATAATTTTTATTAAAATTCATTAGAAAAATAAAATTATTTCTCAATTGATATATTTATATGTAATGTAGTTATATATTGTAAGTTAAAAAAATTAGTATAATATAACACAAGTAAGTTGCACAAATAAAAAAATGTCATAATAAATATATAATAATATATATATATTCTTATAAAAGGTATTTAAATTTTCAAACTACTTTTTCTCATTAATTTTAAATTTTAAAAAAAAAATATTGGCAAGCACCCGTGTAATGCACGGGTATTGTACTAGTTATTTAATATACCAAAAGATGGATTTAGTGTACATTAGCTTTGTTATTTAAAAAGCACCCTAATTATCGTTAGTATCATATAAAACGACTTATTTGACTTACATAATTTTTCTTTTTATTTATGTCAGAAGCATAAGCTTTCATGAAATAGTAACATATTTAGATCTCGAAAACAACCAGTAACAACTAGATGTAAGAGCGACATAATTACATAAATTCAACAAACGAAAAGAGGAACAAAGTTAAAATAAGTAATGTGAAAACTGGTTGATTTCATCCTACCCATGGATAGTGCCCTCGTGAGGTTTTTTACCACCAAATTCACACACACCCACATGGGTGTGTGTAAGTGCGTGTAAATGTGTGGCTCAAAACTCACGGGGGCATTATCTCACGGGGTAGAATCGACTCTACCGTGAAAAATAAAAGACAATCAAGTTTGTACAGACTGCAAAGTGACTCAAATTGTTTATGCATGACACTCAATTTTTGGTGTTCAAATTAACTTTCATTTTTACTTTTGAATTAAAAAAAAAAAAAAA